TTTTTCTGTACTTATTTTACTTAAGGCTCCAACTGAGCTATAGGGATTTTTATGTTGGGATAGTTAGTGGTAATATGTAATTTACTTGCCCCATATGCATACAATTGTTGAAGTTTTACAATTGAGATTAACAATGTTTTTCTTCTCTAACAAGACTGCAGCAACAGCTGAGACCACAGCGAAAACACAGGTGAATAACATTATGTAGTAAGGATGGGTATAAACTGTGTGCTTTGTAGGAGCCAATTAGTGTTATAAGAGACAATCATCCTTTCCTCCTGCCCCCCTTCACTCCTCTCCACCCACTGTCTTTTCTCCTTCCCTACTCGCCATCCAACCTCCTCCTTCTCTCCTTTAATAACGTTTAGGGCAATGATTAATTTGGTTCATATCTTTATCATTAATCTGCATTTATACATCATAACCTATTAACTTTTGGGAAGCTAAGCATAAGAATCAATATGAAACATGAAAAAGTTTCTAAAAGTTGCCAATAAATTAATATTGTGATGTGAAATTATTTTTCAGATTGAAGTTATAAAGGGCTCCGGGGTGTTTTGCCAGGCAGAAGCGTGGAAAGCAGCCCGCCTTGCCACCTCTGCCACTGCCATGGTGCCGAATCTGCTGCTGGGCACCTTTGATTTGGAGACTTTGCTGAAAAGCAACCTGAATGGTACTAAACAACATGTTCCTAATCTCTTCTGTCCTTGAAAAAAACAAGTCAGTCATATTCTGTGGAATAAATTATGTTTGTGTGCGGGCATACCATCGCTTTTTTACTTGCCATTTTTGTATTTCCTTGCACCTCAAGAAAATGTGATGTGTATATAAAAAATCTGTTGTTTTCACCACCTTAATTTTACCCCCCTTTCATAATAATTTTGAAATATTACTTTAAGTTGGGAAGCCATCCAGAGGGGATGGGGAGCAGCTGGTCACCCTTGACCAAATTAAAAAGGCAGCCATTATTGGTGAGTAAATGCATAATGCGTTGAGAAGGGAAAACAAAACTTTTAAGACTTTACAAGTTCACCACTTTAACCATAGCCTACTTGTATTAATGTTTATTAGGCATCAATGGAGACTGTATAATGTAGGGCACCCATTATTGTTACTGTATCTGCTTGGAACCTATAATACTAATTCATTGCTTGCTCACTTCTTGATCCTACCTTTCCTCTTCTAAAGCCACATTTCTGAAATTTTTCTATCCATGAATTTTCACTGCTTTGGATGCACATGATTGACCGTGTGACTGTTAACAATGCAGTCCCGATGACGGACATGTGCATATGAAAGAACGATGCCGCTAAAAAAAAAGGGGGACGATGTTTCCAATCAGAATTTCTTTCAGATTTAGCAGAATCCAATCAGAATCTTCCAATTGACGTGTTTACATGACGCATTTTTTATTATGATCAGCCCTTTATCCAAAATGTGTCCAATCGCAGCTGTACTGTAAGCACTTTGGGTTCCTGATGAAGCAATATATTGTTATTATTATTATTATACTGTCTTATTATTTTTGTCTTCTCTAGATGCTACATTGAAGAAGTGGCCGGCAGCCAGCCGAGGGCAGATAGGCACATCTATCAATTCGAAGCTCACGGAGCTGAGAAGATCAACAAGATAAATTGTTTTTTTTTTTTCTGTACAGTTTTGTCTTATTTTTGTTCTTGTACTATTTGATTGTTCTTGAGTAAATAAATAATTTAAATTTCTACATTTTGGGCTATTATTTATGTTGCCTAGTAGCTATGGATTTTAATAATTATACTAATATATAGGTAAACATATAGCTGGATATATACGTGCATATATGTACCTATATAGGTACATATGTGCACGTATATAGGTTCATATATGCACGTATATATATGTATCCTATATAGGTACGTATATGCACCAATATACGTACATATATGCACCTATATATTGGCATATATGCACACATATATGCACCTATATAAGTACATATACGGACGTATATATGTACACATATATGTACATGTATGTGCATATATGTACATATAATATAGGAAAACGGCCAATTTTATATATGTCACATATATTGAAATCCTATATCAAAACCTATATTAAAACATATATGTTTATATAGGTTCTTTCCATGTGGGACATTAATATATAAATATAAAATTGTGAAATGTATGATTGCCTGATTGAATTTTATAAGAGGACTAATAGTAATTTGTTTTTATTAACATATTTAGATTTTATAAAATTACTGTGCAGATTTTTTCAAGAATTACTTTTTGCTGCTGATTTATACACTCATTAAGTTTATTTAAAAAATCATAGTACATTTATGTAATATTTAAAGGTGTTAACTGTAATCTTACACTGCAAAATAATAACTTAAAAAGGATTAAATTCATCACAATTATGTAAGTATCTGGAAATTTGCCACCGGGCAAGGGCCCTTATATATATATATATATATCATTATATATAATATAATATATATTAGTAGGGCCCTACTAATATAATTAGTAAGCTAACATTGAATATAACACAATAAACCAAAGTATATCAGTAGGAGTTTCCTTAAGTCTTTCTGATAGTTTTCTACAGGCCGGTTTACTACAACAGTAGAATAAAATTCTGAAATTATGGTTTATAGTTTTGGTGTGCCACCCCAAGATTTTAAGTGGTCCCATCTGGCCACCCCTATGAAAAATTTCTGGAGGCGCCACTGCCCACCGCAGGCTTATTAGTTTAAATCTGAAGGAATTGAGGAGGATTTTATCCACTCACATCCTCCAGCTCTTTGTATGGAGAGACGGAGAATAAACAAACATGGCTCAAGACGAGTGCTGTCCAAATGGATTAATTTGTCATTTTCCTTTCATTCATTTATTTAAACCCTTCTTCCTTTGACACTGCCCATTCAACCATAGGCAGACGGCTTCTGAAATGGCCACAAGATCACAAGATATTCAGCGTCAGATAGCAGATTTTGAGCAGATATTATGTGTCCGGTGAACGCTGACTCAGTTGGTCTCAAACAGCCCTGCGAGCAAGATAAATCTGCAGCACACAGGAAAGGTAAGCGCTTTGCTTAGTTGCATATGATTACATCAGAAACCATACATCATACATGTTACATCATAACCTAGTGCAGAGCTGGGAATTTATTTTTAAAACACTCCATATTTTTTAGTTGTTTTCCAGTAATGTTTAATGAATTCATAAAAACACTTCACTAATGCGGCTCAATGAGCAAAACTTACAAAAACAAGTCCATATGTATGTGTTTGCTATATATATATATAAATTCTCCATACTGTCAGATGGGTCTCCATATCATCTTGTTGAACAAAGACTTAAATAATTTCTTCTCCAAGTATGTCGTGAATGATAACTGTAAATCTTACAGGCCCTCATGGACGTCATAATGCATCCCTTCAGACAAGCACAAGCGACAGAAGATCAAGTGTTTGACATACTGTCTTTCACACACTTCTTTCCTGCTGTTTGTCCCTGTGCAGCAGAGACTCTGAAACACCGGCTTAGGTGATCAAGTTTAACAGCTTCCCCGATAACTACATCTAAATGTCAGGGGAAATCTGGAGCACAAAGTAAATTTCCAGCTCCTGGTTCTTTCCTCTAAAACTGAAGTCTTCTCGAAGAACCGTGTAATAACTCATATCTCTCGTGTATTGCAGCAGTCCATCGGGTAAAACTAAAAACACTCAGAACACCTTAGCAACCACATAGCAACACCGTATCTATGTGATTTTATCCATCATAGTTCTTTGTGTAAAGTTTAGCTCCTGTATTCCCTGCAGTTGTACTAAGATACTATCCTTCCACATTATACAGTTTGTTAATCAAATTAAAGGACACTTTAATTGTGTGCAGTGATTCAGAAAGAGGCATTGGTGTCAGTGGTGTCGTGGAGGTCGTGTCCTCATCAGTATCAGACACTGTTCAATGGAGCCCACTTTTACTTCTGCATACTGAAATATTTCTTCAGTTTGTGTTTTCATTCTGTAACATATTACTGATACTAATACACATTTCATTATCAATTGTCTTTGAATGAAATAATGAGTGTAAATGTAAGTGAAGCATTTTAAAATAAATGTTTGGTGCACAATGAGAAGATTTTCAACAATTTAAGGTGACTCACTCACTTTATATCCCACAATCAATTGCCATTACTTTACTCACTAGTGAGACTCTACAACACAACACATTTTGTCTCTTGTAAGCAGTGTTTTACTAGACCTATGTTCTTTTTTTAAACACTGTTTTGTGCTTTAATTTCTAAAACGTTGATAAACTAATAATTTCTTTCCAAATTAGATATTTTAAGTACTAATCATCATGATGACCTAATGTTCCATCGTCAATCGTTTGCATAAATTGTGAAATGCCGCCATCTTCCGACAAAATATGGAACTGGTTTATGTATCCAATACTCATGTATCCTGACTGTAATGTTTATGATTTGCAACATAACAAAACCCATACAGTTATTTTACAAACATTCCCAGTGTAATTTTATATAAAATTCATACATTCAAAATGCATATACAGTTACATAACAATCTAATAAATATGCCTTTTACATTTTACAAAAAAATCCCGTCATATCGCAATAAAAATAATGCTGTTGATCTTTATATAAATACATTTATATCTTTATATACGTCAGTGGAAAACAATATAGTACAATTGACATATTTTACTTTATGTATGTGATTTGCCAAAAACAGTCAGAACCATTGTATCAGTTTTTTTTTATAATTTTGTGAAAACCCTTTATAAGCAATTAATGGAAAAAATTAAGACTAAAATTATTTAGCATAAATACAACTTAAAATAATTGTACAAAGTTTTCGACATCTGTTTACAGAAACAACATCTGTCAGCAAGTTGTGCACCGGAAGTGCATTAATGGACCAATCCAAACGCTCATACCAGAGCGGACCAATCAGAGCGATTGCGTATGCTGACGCGATCAAGGCGCGAATTTATTCAACAGAAACAGCACGCGACTGTTTACAGCTAACGAGCGTCTCGTTATTAAATGCTCAGAACCCTCATAAATCAGCTGTTCGCATATTAAAATATTATAATCCACCCGCTAGAACACTTAACGTGGATTTTGAAGAAATGAATGCGACCGCGGAACTAGAAATGAAAAGCAAATCCATTGTAGATGATGCGCACGACAAAGTCACGCCAAGACAAGGGGGCGTGTCTGTAAGAAGAAGGTAAACAAATATATCCACTTTGTAAAGATTTAAGAATTAAAATCTTAAGAAAGTCTGTTTTATCATGATTAGCAACGTTTGTTTATTCCATGCAGACCTGCAGATCCCAGATGTAACGTTAGGAGCGTCAATTCAGGTTTTAAATCTCCTGTACGTAAAGTCTATCATTGAATCAAATGTATTAAGAGGACTATTGTATAGTAGTCTGTGATATGATGCCTAGAGGTAGAAAGCAATATTCATGGGAGTTTGATAACTGATAACAGATTAATTACGGTTTATATGGATATGTGGTGAGTTGTCTTTGGTCTGTCATAGGTCCAGAAGCCTAGTATGGTGAAATCTCCCTTGTGCCCTGAAGAAGAAGTCAAAGAGCTCAAGAAAACACTTGATCGGCTGGATTCAGAGATCGCCTTGTTGGAAAAAGAGTAGGTAGTGAATGTGGGAAAGACGGATGCAAGAGATGCTGTTGTTTGTTCATACTGAAAGATACTATAGAATATTAGGTTTAGAATTATTTTTTCAATTTAAGGTGGTTGGGAGGTCACAAAAACACAACGTGAGACATATTAATTGGCTTCCATTAAAGTTGTTTTAAAAATCAAATGCATATTTTTAAAAATGAATAATTCACACATAAAATGTTGCCATTATTTATTCATCCTCATGTTTCTTTTTTTTTTCTGTGAAACACAAAATATGTTTTGAAGAATATCCTGGTGACTCGTTTCCATATAATGAAATTGAACTCCAAAAGCTCCAAAATAAAATAATGAAAGCAGCATCATTAACACTATAACGCCTACTGTATCATATTTTATACACAAATGTATAAGGCCTTTAATCTATCAACATGATCAAAACTGTTCCATTTCAAAAATGTAGATTCTGACTTTTATTTCATAGGTCAGGCTTTACAGGATTTAAATAACTTAAAGGAAAGATCACTCAAAAATTCGTTCCAAACATTTAAGACTTTCGTTTATCTTCAGAACACAAATTAAGATATTTTAAAGAGATTTCTGTCCCTCCATTGACAGCAGATCTATTCCACCAAGACCAAACATATCAACATTGTCATACCCATTGCCATGCCAAACACTCAGAGTTCTCAAGGCAGAAATTATGACAAGTAAACTAACTCTTTAAAATGTGACTTGTGTGCTTTATTTTGAGCGTTCTTAAGTAATAGAATAACTGTGTAACAATTTATTTTGGCTGAACAAATTATTTTAAATAAAAACTTGTTTTAAATCTAAAATGCATAATATGGTCCGTTTAGATCGTTTGCTGATAACTACATTTTTCATTAAAGTGTTTCATCATTGTTATTTATTCTCAGATTAAATTGAGCTCATGTTTCTCTGTTTTTGTATTTGCAGAGGATTTGTTGTACAAGAGCTGGATCAGCACATAGACCTGCTGCACGAATACAATGACATCAAAGACATCGGACAAACTTTACTGGGCACATTAGGTAAGAATTGGTGGATCAATCGTCTTTTTAATAGTAAGTGCAACGGTGTCCGATAACAACATAAAAACATTTCACACATGATAATCGTTCATCTCCTGTTCATAAACACTTGTGGCCTACACACTTCTCCCATCCCACTCATATAAGTGGGTTACAGCCTCCATACGCTTGGCATTTCTCTCTAGTGTCAAGATTATGATAATGGCCTCCTCCAGTATTACCACTGTATTCTGTGATATAATGGACCCTTTCAGACTCCCAGCAAGATGAGTTTCTTGCCTGCTCTGGCCTCTCGGTGACTTCAGATGGTCTGAGGGCCAGAGGGGGTCTGTGCCACATCATTCTCCCCCATGTGACCGCTGACAAAGACAACTGTCTCTCTGTGTCTCTCAGCTGGCCTGCGTGGAGTGACCACACGAGACTTGTACAGTCACTTTGGCCTTGAGTTGGAAGACTGACTGAGCTTCATGAGAGGAGATGGAATAACTGGAAGGCTTCATAATACTGTTTGTTTTTGTTTATTGCAAATACACCCGTTAGTATTGTTTTCTTCATGCTCTTGTGCTGAATGAGTAAAATTAAGAAGTTTCAGTGAAATGAACATGCTTAACTCTGGCAAACTAATTCCATGATAGATTTAAAGCTTCAAAGAAATGGAAATGCTTCTGTCAATATTGTGAGAAGAATTGCCTCAATGTTTATCTCTGCACACGGTTTTCCTCACATTGTGTTTGCACCAAATGTGAGGTGTTATTGTGCATGAGAGAGATTGTCATCCAATTCTGGTGAATTAAAGGACTAGTTCACGCAAAAATTACATTTGTCATCATTTACAGTTTCAAACCTGTAGGCCTTTCTTTCTCAGTGCAACCAAAATGAAACTTTGTGAATGTTCAGTTCATATTTGCACTTTTCACTATAAGCTTTCATTGTATGAAAAACAGGAGCATGAACATTTTTCAAAACATCTCTTTTTGTGTTCCACAGAAGAAAGTCAGTCATAAAGGTTTGGAACAACGTGTAAATGTTTGTTTATGGCTTAACGACAAGTGCTATGGCAAATTGATTTACCTATGTATTGCTGTTGGGTCCAATTTTGCTTTATTATTCATTGTTTAACTGTAAAACAAGCAAATGTGTGTATTTCAAAGTGTATATGCCACATTTGTGTGGTTGCTCAAAGGTTTTATCTTACAAGAACTAATCCAACTGTGTGAAAGTTGAACTAAATACACTTTATGGAAGTTATGATAGAGGTGTATGGACTGTCAATATTTTGGATAACAATAGATAAAGCCATCTGCTACACTGATAGCAGATTGCCTCACTTTGCTGACAGTTGAAAAATGCTTTTTGCTATCTAACATGATATCCTATCCACGGTGAATTAGATATACCGAATGAAATTGAATCAAGAAATGTCTGTTGGCTTCTATTACCACTTGTGATTTCCACTGACCATTCTTAGACATGATAGAACATAATGTATAAAATGGCAAATAGTGTGATCAGTTTAAATAAAGCATAAATTGTTGAGTTGAAAGTGTATTTGTTAGGCAAAGCATGTCAACATAAAATGGTATCCACCACCATTTAAGGAGAATTGGAAAATAATAGGGATTTGTGACGTCAGCCAAAAAGATAAATTGCTTTAGTTGCAGGGCTGGTGTTTACATTTATTTGAAAGATTATGAGGACAAAGTACATGAGGATTACTTTACTTTTTCTGTAAAGTAATACGCACTAGTTGTGCACAATAAAACCAGAAACACACATTAAGAAAGAATACAGACAGTTTCCAAAGAAACAGTAGGCCTACATAAGTTAAATTAGCAGTGTTTCATGCATTTTGGTTAAAAACAACATCCTCGTCTCCATTACAGTCATTTCCAATGCACAAGTAAAAAGCATGTCTCATAACACATTCGAAATACCATATACATTACATCATTTTAATTTCTGCCATCACAGTGACCAGCAGACGGAGAGATATCTGACAAAAGCCCTCCTTCTCCTCCATCATGCCTCATGGACCTGCAGAGCTGCTTTGCAGCAACTACCGGGCGGAAACTGTCGTGATGATTCGCTGGCTGGGCCACATTTCCTTGACAGGACTTTAAGTCCCGCCTTTGCTGAGCGAAACGGCAGCGCTCCGAGAGAACGCCATTGGTTCAAAGAGCTGTCAATCAATGTATACGCAACTGCACCGGCGAATAGAGAGAAGGCGGGCTCAAGTAAGAAAATTATAAGGTCATTGGAATTATCAGCCCTACAAGCCATCGTTACAATGAAGCGATAACAGATAATAATGAAAAATGAAATAAACGGGGGCAAAGTCTACCAAAGAAGCTGCGGTAGGTAAAAGGCAGGCGTGCGGCCGTTACACACCGGCGCGTGCGTCTCAGCGCAGGTAAACGCGGTGGAGGTTTCGCTTAAGCCGATCAAGGTGGGATCGTACGGAACAGGTTCCCATTCTGCCATTATACACACGTTATTGTGACCACGGAGACCGATATTAAGGTATTTCCTGGACCACAGACACCTACATGTCAAATATTTTAACCATTGTCCATTTCCGGCATCTCCTGTATCATTAATCGTCATGATCGCAGATGTCAACTGCCAGTTAAAGATGCATTTTCCGATTTTTACAATAACAACAGCGTACATTGTGTCCTGTTCATGTTTGCTGATGGATGCGGTGTCATATGTAACAGTTTATTGCTGATGATCCAGATAAAGGGATATAGGATGCCAGATATCCGCACTGAGCTTTTAAAAATATATATATAAAACACGCACATCAAATAACGCAGTGTAACCGTTTCTGGTATACCGTTAGGCCTACTACTGTATAAACTTGGTCGTATAGACACATGCTATAATGTATAGTCTGACTGTGTGAAATCCTAATAATGTATCTTGTGATTGTAACAGTATCAGTAGAGTGAAGCTCCGTGTGCTGCAGTGCTGTAGTGATGTTCGGTTCTCCAACGACTCGTTCTTTTCAACCGAATCACTAAAACGGGCTGAGTTGTTCGTTCCCGGTTCTGGAATCAACAACTCACAGACTCACTCTTTTGTCCGATTCAGAATGAGCCCGAAATACCACAGGAACGTATTTGAATTGTTTGCCGTTTGATTGAATGACAGTTGTATGATTGTATCGACACACATTTGAAAGTTGTTTATAATAAATTTAATGTACAAGCTTAAACATTACTGAGAGATGCCAATTTTAGTATTGTTTATTGTAAATGTAAGTTATATTTGTGTTCTAAACAGCAATATGATGTAATACCGCGAACGTGTGGTCATGGCGTAAGAGAATCGCTGAATCTTTGAATGAACTGTTCGAAAGAGCCGAATCGCGGAATTGAGTCAGTATAGTGCTTTACAATCCAATGTGCTCGCTCAGGTTTCCGTGTGGAGCAACGAATTAGGGCTCTGCGGTCATGATTATGATGATGGCTCTTCTGCATTGCTTAAATAGCCATCCGCACTCACAGCACGTCTATCGTTTTGTCTTGCTACAACAACACGCGGTCACAGGACCGAGCAGACGTTACCATGCGGGGCGGGTGGGTTCTCCCCAGCATTTCCCTGCTGTATCGAAAACGTATGGTGATGGAGGTGGTGATATGACGATGTGTTAACATCACTTCTGTCTGTCATTAGAATGAGAATGTGTGAATGAAATGGCGTATTATCTATAGGTGAATCACACCGGGGCTAGTTGTCTCACTTTTACTCCAGTGAACATTTCCCAGAGTAGGTTTTTTAATCCGTTTCTGTATAGAATCCTTGAATCCAAAGTATTTGACATTTTATTTATTTCCACTGTTATACAGTTCATTTAACACGTGTTTACCTACAACGTGGCTTGTTGTTAAGTTACACTAGGGTAAGTTCGTTGTCACAATGGGAACTCTATTTAATGTATTTTTCTGCAAATTTGAACATTAAAACCTATATGAAACACAAAAACAATTCACGAAGCTGTAAAAATGGACAGGATTACAAACTTTTGGTCAACAGTAATTGCTAAGCTAAGTATAATTATTAAGATACCTGCATAATTATAAATAAATAAATAATTCATAAATAATCAAATCAAAATTCATTATATAGTTTAGATTCCCACCTGAGAGTGGTTGTATTGTGCATTACCAAAATGATATGGTCATTTTGTCCATCTATGTGTTTGTAAGAGTTTTTAAGTTAAAATTGACATTTTAGGCTGTCAGTAGATTAAAATAGTAGATAAAAACAACTCCTATTTATCTCCTGTTTTGAAGTAAATGTTTGAAAGCAAGAAACAAAACCACTGCTAAAAAAAAACCCCATACATTTGTGTAATTGTTCTTTGGACTCAAAACCTTACCAAAGCCTTTGTGGCAGCTTTCCCATGTGACAACTAGCCCCGGTGTCCCCTATATAGCTGGCCTTAGAGGACATGTGATGTGACTGGTCATTCAGCAGGTCAAGCTTCTGCTGCATTCAGATGAGCTGTAGGAAAGGATCGTACAGATCAAATAGCTCTGTTGCCTGACATTCAATCCACCCTAGTTACTTTACAGGTGTTTTAGTGGACAAGAGAGCCTAGAAACACGTCAATACACTTTAATGTAAAGGAGCATTTTAATGAATTACCTTTTTTAATAAATTAATTTGTTTGTATCCATCTTCGTTACACATCAGAAATATGGAAACATAAAAACAGTCAGGTTATCCTCCATCATTATATGTAATAATATCCTACATACGCATATAATAAATCAAATGTGGGATGAACAGCAGCATTTAAATAAATATTTCAATACAAATGTTTGATTTACTGCCCAAACAAACACATCTGGAATCCTAAGTTACTCACTTTTCTCGAGGAAGATAATACGAGTACTCTGGACTGGTATACCTTTAACATACATTTACAAGGTCAAAGATCTGTTTTCTATCTTATCTTGATATAGACAACTTATCTTGTTAATCTCAGAATCTGTCGATTTAAAGGCAAGAGTTTTGCATATCAACCATTGTAATTATCAGGTTTATAATGATTGTTATAACTTTTATTAAGATCTTTTTTTAAAAGGCCCAATAAAATGTTAATGCAATAATGAGCTGTTGATAAATGATGTTGAAATGTCTGAATGACTGAGGCGCTGTGTGTGTTCTGTGTGTGTCAGGATGTTGCGGCTGGCGTGCTCCACGGCTCTTCTCTTCCTTCTCCGGCTGTTCGCCGGCCTGTCCTGGTTCCAGGTCCTACCATCCATTCTCATTTTCTACCTGGGTTCTGGAGGATGGAAGTCCATCCATGTGTTTTCAAAGACCATATATCGCGATTTGCAGTAAGTTTAAATGTTATAAATATCCGGTGTAGCTTGCTTTTTTTATATACTTTTTATAATATGAATATACTTTTTATGTACTTTCCCACTTTTTCGAAATCATCCAAACCAAACGAACCGAACTACAAGTGTGAATCCACCCTTAAAGAAGTTCCTCAACAAATACAGCCGCACATTCCTGTATTACGAGCTATGAGTTTGTTAAGAGGAACACGTGGTTGAAGTGGGTTTCTGTGTTATCCCTCGCTGGTTCACCCTGTTTTTCCTGATTTTGCTTTTCAAGATTTTGAAATGTGAATTGAGTAATCTGAAGTCTGATTGCTAATATATTAAGGCTTTGAGGATGGTTCTGTAGTTCTGTGTTTGAATAGCAAACAAAGCAAAACCTCTGCTAACAATCACAGTTTTGCCGCTGGTTGTAGCAAGTGCTGGGGCTTATGGAGTTCAGTTCCACTGCAGGTCCTGGAGGTGTGGGTTTATCTTTTCACACAGCACAGATTACTCTTTAAGTGCCTGGATTGAAGGATGGAGGCTTTTAGGATAGCTGTTAATGGATGTAAGAACTCTTATGGGACAGGGATCACTGCTTTTAGCAATGTGACTGTTTGTGTGTGAGCACACACCTGCCACTTACAGATTTGTTATTTGTCACTTAAGAAGTTGATGAGACCAGAATAACTATAATTATCATTAAACAGATGATTATAGTCATTAAACCTACACACTAAATGTACAAAAAGGTGTAAAGTACTGGTCAAAAGTTTGGAATAATTATAATAAACTTTATAACTTTATAACTTTATAATTAAAAGTCTCTTCTGCTCACCAAGGCTGCTTTTATTTGATTGTCTGATTTGATGGTCAAGAAACATTTCTGATTATTATCAATGTTTAAAACCGTTGTGATGTGCATGACCATGATTCACTACCATTCAAATGTTTTGGGTAAGTAAAATATATATATTTTAAATTAATTAATACTTTTATTCAGCAAAGATGCATTAAAGTGACAGTAAAGACATTTTTAAAGTTACAAAAGATATCTTTTTCAAATAAATGCTGTTCTTTTGATCTTTCTATTAATCAAAATAAAAAATATGTATCACAGTTGCCACAAAAATATGAAGCAGCACAACTGTTTTCAACATTGATAATAATCAGAAATGTTTCTTGAGCATCAAATCATCATATTATAATGATTTCTGAAGGATCATGTGGCACTGAAGACTGGAGTGATGATGCTGAAAATTCAGCTTTGATCACAGGAATAAATTACAGTTTGAACATAATTCACATAGAAAACAGTTAATTTAAATAGTAATAATATTTCACAATATTACTGTTTCACTGTTTTTTTTTAAATTAAAATAAATGCAGCCTTGGTGAGCAGAAGAGACTTCTTTCAAAAACATAAACAAATCCTAATCATTCCGAACTTTTAAAGTAGTGTATCTATTTTAAATGAAGAGTTCACCCAAAACTCAAAGTAGATGTTTTACAAAATGTCCAGAATAATACCATCTATTCTTTTACAGTGCAGCCAGTGTGTTGCTGAGGGTAAAGCTGAATGTCAAAAAGCACCTACGTGAGCGCAACACCATTCCCAAACTTTTTGCGAAGTCCCTCAAGAAATACGGTGACAAGACGGCTCTGATTTTCGAAGGAACGGGCGAGAAATGGAGCTTCAAGGAGCTTGACGATTACTCCAACCGCGTGGCTAACTTTCTTCTGCAGAGGGGCTTCAAGGAAGGCGATGTGGTGGCTCTGTTCATGGAGAACCGCTCTCAGTACGTGGGGCTCTGGCTGGGCATGGCGAAGATCGGAGTGGAGGCAGCGCTCATCAACTTCAACCTGAGACTGGAGGCCCTGGTTCACTGCGTCAACATCTCCAGCGCCAAAGCCGTGGTGTTCGGCAGTGAGCTAACAGATGGTGAGAAGTGTTTTGATCGTTATTAGAGATGAGGAAACTACTCCTAATTTATAGCAGTTAAACGACAGTCAAGCTACACTTTTGATTAAGTAGTTACATACCCATGCTGCTACTAACAAAATGTAGCTAACTGCATTTGGCTGTTACGGAGGCAGTTTATTTTGAAATTTGAAATAATTAAGTTTCGAACCAGTGATTCGGAGCACGTATTAAACTCCCGAAGTTCACCAGCGTGTGCAGTTTAGAGCGCTTCGAAACAGTGAATCAACTGAACCACAAATTCAACATACAAATACAACGCAACCAAATACAGAAACACGCTGCAAATACTCACAACTCAATCAAATTGAAGCTTGATAGTATGTTTGTTGTGAGTATTTGCAGTGCGTTTCTGTATTTGGTTGCGTTGTGAGTATTTGCAGCACATGTGCTGTCAAACTGATTAAAATGTTTTCTTAATTTGCTGGTGTTTTTTTTTTACTGGCATGAGTTTCCTTCAGTTGCAGCGCGTTAAAGGGATAATTTTAATTAAAATTAAAATTGTAATAATTTTTGGTATGTTTTAGCTTTCCTCAAGGGCATCCAAGATGTAGGTGTCTTTGTTTCCACAGTAGTTTCAATTTTGATATTTTTTGGTCAAACCGTTCTTGTCTGTCAGTCATATAATGCAGGTCTATGGTCACCGCCTCAAAGAGCATGCACAGAGAAGTCCAAATTAAACACGATTTAATGACTCGTAAATGTAAGTACACATTGATGGCCTGAGACACGAAACGAGCGGTTTGTGTAAGAAAACTAACAGTATTTATATCGTTTTTACCTCTTGTAAACACAGCCACGTCCAAGTGATCTGAGGTCGCGGGCGCTTCGGTCTTTTCCGGAAAGCGCCGGAAGTGATCTCTCGCGCGTGTACGTCACTCATACAATTGTTTTATTTTTTTTATTGTTTTCTTTTACGACGGTTTAAACATCCCGGATAAGCGCAAATTAGTACCATTTTAATTAGCCGTCTTACCTACAATCTCTGTTCTGTGGAAACAACGAGTGACATACACGCGCGAGAGATCACTTCCAGCGCTTTCCGGAAAAGACCGAAGCGCCCGCGCCCTCAGATCACTTGGACGTGGCTGTGTTTACAAGAGGTAAAAACGATATAAATACTGTTAGTTTTCTCACACAAACCGCTCGTTTCGTGTCTCAGGCCATCAATGTGTTCTTACATTTACGAGTCATTAAATCATGTTTAATTTGGACTTCTCTGTGCATGCTCTTTGAGGTGGTGACCATAGACCTGCATTATATGACTGACAGACAAGAACGGTTTGACCTAAAAATATCAAAATTGAAACTACTGCGGAAACAAAGACACCTACATCTTGGATGCCCTTGAGGAAAGCTAAAACATACCAAAAATTAATTTCAAAGTGAACTATCCCTTTAAGCTCTCTCGGTCACCGTAGGATATTCATTTTATCCATCTGGAATTAATTGGATTGTGTTCATTACATACCAAAATGAGTCAGGTACTTAAAAAAAAAAATTGGGTTGGTGACATCAATCGACATTTTGGAGGTGGACAAATTTAATACATTTTGTCTAAATTAAAAAAATGTCTTTTTGTATTTTTTTTATGAGGTGCACTGGTGCATCTTGCACAATAATATACCAAGAATGTGTAGTTGAATGTCAATAGTGTCAGTTGATTTCATATTGACTTTAAGCATGAGGCTTGCATTAATGAATATGATTTGCCTCAATAAATATAGTATCGGTTGAGGCAGCGGTTCAGAAGTGTTGCAAGTGGAAGTGACACACCACAAGAAGCAAATAAGGAAGTGGCACTTGGACAAAGATTAGTGTTTGAACTCTAGAGAAACAATGAATAAGTAGCATAGAGTAAAGATTTATCTTGGGCAGAGGTCACTGCGTGTAACTCATAGTGAAAGAATGTCATTGCACCAAAGAGTATTCGTACCTGAGGTCACGAAAGGCAGCAAAACCCTAATGACATCCAGTTTCCTAGTTGTCTCTTAAGTAATTGGATACTGACTCATAAAGCATGCCATGTTGAGTCAGCTTCGTTTCTTATCGATTTCACATTGTCGGGCGTTTGCTTGTCCTGTGCTTTCTCCGAAGAACTTTCTAGGCTCGTTTTGTTGCATTATTTGCGTCTGTGATGTATTCACGTATTTCTCTCGCTCTTTAAATGTCTCAGCGCTGTGTGAGGTGCACAGCTCCATGGGAAAGACTGTTAAGCTGTTCTGCTCTGGAGAATGGGACCCTAAGAGCGTTCCTGAAGGGACGGAGCATCTAGAGCCGCTGCTGGAGGCGACACCTACAAACCAACCCAGACAACCAGATCGCAGCTTCACAGGCAAGATGATCGAACACACACTTGCCACTATTAAAGGCCTATGAGCTCCAGAGCCACGCTGTTTTTAGTTTAAAGCTTTTTTTCCCCCCGTATGATGAATGATCCCCACACACGATGTCAAACCAAAAATTATTCAGACACCAGATATCATTTTGTATATTTTTTTTACTAGTGGGTACAGGACACTATAGTTAATTATCAGGGCCTGAATTTTGCATTTTTTCCAAACAAAATTATTACATTTATCTTGCCTAAATGTTTGCGCTCATTGCATTTTTACAATGGGGTAATATTGTTGTTAAGAATTTACACATCACAAGGAAGCTTGATTTAAATTGTTTCATTAAATTGAAAAAAGTAGCACAATTAAATACAATAGAATAAAGATACAAATAAAGAGAAAAGTTTTTGAATAGGTCTAACTAGTGTTGTCACGGTACCAAAATTTCAGTATTCGGTACCAATACCAGTGAAAATCCACGGTTCTCGGTACCAATTTCGGTACCAAAGCTTAATTTAGATAAAATCTACATATATTAAAGTGTATCACAGTTACAAAGATGGAAACTGTAGTATTAAAAACACTTTACAATAAGATTCTATTTGTTAGATAACATTAGATAAAATGACCTAACAATAAACCATAGTTATAGCAATTATTCTCCTTGGGGTTAATTTAAAAATATACTAAATACATTTTTAAAATCAAAAGTTTTATCTGTTAACATTATTTAATGCACAATGAATGAAGTGAACAAACATGAACAATCAAGTGTTTGTATTAAATAACATTCACAAACATTAATTAATGTTGTAAAAATATATTGTTCACTCAATGTGTTGATGTTAACACATTAAGTAATGTTAATGAATGGTATCTTATTGTAGTGTTACCAAACTATACAGGAGATAAAACATGTTTTATTTGACTTAACTGTATCCTACTTTTATTTAATCCAAAACTGCAAAAAATTTCACTCTTTCCTGTCTTCAAAACTTGAGAACGCTGTAGCTGATTTCTAATGCAAGGGCTAGAAATCAATTAATTCTTTGCTGTTACTTCCTCGTCATCACGGAGAGCGCAGTTTGCACCGCTTTCTCCTTCTCTCCACAAGCGCTCGCTCTCGCGTGTCTCCGCTATGCAACCATAAACAGTGACGCGCCTGGAAAAACAAGCTCGCACGTCGCTTCTATTATGAGCGCGCTTCCCGCGCGCCTACATTTGAAATTTGCACGCGCAAAAAACGTGCTATGTGAACGTGTGAACGGCCCTTTATGGCAACGTGACATTAGCCTAATTCAACATATTTCCATATGTGGCTCTTTCCTCCTTTCTTGTCAACAAGTGGATTCAGAGCCAACGCATTAGCAGCGCCGCCGGTCGCCATGTCTCAGTGTTTTTATGAAGAGGACGCAACTCTGCACCTTTCGGACAGCGCATCAAGAACCGGATTAACCCGGTACTCGGTGCCTAGAAAAGCTGGTACCGTAACCGTTAATTTTTTTTAGTACCGACTTGGTACCGAAGTACCGAGTTTTTTGACAACACTAGGTCTAACACTAGTATTCATATCACTGATCTATATAGAATGACATTATTCAGTTTCTGTATATGAATCACTGATCTATATAAAGTAATCAAATGGAAAATAACACTGGGTAGTGTTTTAGTCCTGAATAAATTAAATACATAGGCTATTATTCCTGATTCCTTTAACTTAAAGCTATCTTTTGTTGTTTTGACAACAAAATCAATGACAGACACATATGGCTGCCGTCACTTTAAGAGCTAGTGCACGGATCCTGTGTTCATTATACTGGCATGCGTTTTATGCTTATTAAAGACAAAACCGATATGTTTAGAGTATACTCACGAAAACCGAAATTGACAATTTTGCGTGTTAAAGCGATATAATCCGCGAAAAATAAGTTTTGTTACTGGCCAGCTGTTTTTGAGGCGGATTTTATATGAATGTGCGCATAGAAAATCATCTCAGAGAGTGTGCGAGCACTGATTAGTTTAAAATCGCTTGAATGTTTAAACTGTTAAGACTTAAAAAGACGTGCAAATGGCCAACTGCAGTCACGATGCACTGCTGGCCCGATTGTGCAAGTGAATATTGCGTCATGTCCCGACTCCTAAACGCGAGTGTGTATTATCGCCGCAGCGCTTGATGCTTGCCAACACATTTTGAGAGAAGAGATAGAAGACGCGGCACCGCTGAACACTGGCAGATAGTTGTTAAAAGAATGATTTTATTTCATAATCTGTGTGGATTACGATTGCGGGAATTTCCCACATTATAAATGGGAGACCTGCGGGAATTATTTGAATTATGCGCAATACCCGCAATCCCGCGTTAATTTATGTAAGTGAGGATAGAAAAAGAAAGTAAACTAACATTTTATACCCAAAAATTATTCATACAGTGGACCAGTCAAATGTATAAAAATTTGGGACCAAATATTATTCAGATACCTTGACCTGACCATGTGTTTTTTCTTTAATTGCTAATGCGACCTTTTTTACACCACTGACTGAACAAAATTAAGCATTGCTTGGTAATTGGTTGAGCTATATTGGTATTATCTAATTGTGTAGTTAGATTTAACAGTTAACAGCTATTCAACCTAATTCATTTGTGAGACAGTTTAACAGAAGGATGGCCAAAACCAGTGAAATATCAACTGATTTATTCATCATACATGATGCAATTATGAAAATTTGGCATTGAACTCAGTCTGAATATTTCCATTCTTTTTGTTTTGTTGCATTTGACTTAAACAGGCCTTTTAGGATGTTAAAAGACACATTACCAACCAGGGTCCAGATTTACTAAACAGGGCAAATTAGCGTGGGACCGCATTCCCTTAAAGTGCCGGTGGGAGTGGGAAGTTCTGAGCTGATCAACGGACAGTTCACAAATGGAAGAACATCGATGCCGTCATGTCAAGTGCAAAATAGGTTAAGGCATGCTTTTTTGGGGTGGTAAAAAATGGTGCAAATACCAGTAAATTGACTAGTGCATTAGTCAATTCGACTAATATTTCATAGTAATTGACTGGTGACTGGCACAAGCTCTTAATAAATCTGGCCCATAAATCACATTACCAACTAGATGTGTAATAGTTTTTTCTTCTTCTTTGCTTCTAGATCGCCTTTTTTACATTTACACGTCGGGAACCACTGGGATGCCAAAAGCTGCTATCGTTGTACATAGCCGGTAAGTGTATAACAGTGTTTATTTTCTCAATTTCTCAGTTTCTCGTTCCTTGCTTTCTCTTTTTCTCTTTCTTTTTCTCAAACTCCCTGTTTTTCCTGCGCTCTTTCCTCAGGTATTACCGCATGGCTGCCTTGGTGTACTATGGTTTCAGAATGAAGTCTGAGGATGTGCTTTATGACTGCTTACCACTTTACCACTCAGCAGGTACATCACTGAACACAGGCTGCTCTACACCTTCATGACATGTGCACTTCCTGTCACTGTCTGGTTCAGGCTACTTCCTGTGCGAGTTTTGGGCTTGTTTTGAGGGATGTCTACATAAGATCCTTGAGTCCAATGCTGTATTGAGAAAAATAACTTAGTTTGTTTATATTTATTGGTTTAACCGGCTTATTTGTGAGTCTTTAATCTGGAAGTAATCAATAGGTTTGTTCTGAGGTCAGAGTTGTTCTCTGTGGCAGGAAACATAGTGGGAGTCGGCCAGTGCCTGATCCATGGAATGACTGTGGTGATCAGGAAGAAGTTCAGTGCATCAAAGTTCTGGGATGACTGTATCAAATACAACTGCACGGTGAGTAATGGAATATATGGATTAAGGAATATTCAAGAAATTAATTTGCCTATAGTTTTTAAAGTAAAGATGTATTAAATTGATCAAAAGTGACAGTAAATATATTTATGCTACAATAGATTTAGATTTCGAATAAATGCTGTTTATGAATATTATATTTATCAAAGAATCCTGAGATGAAACAATGTTTCCACAAAAATATGAAGCACCAGACCAGTTTTCAACATTGATAATAATCAGAATTGTTACTTGAGCATTAAATCATCATATTAGGATGATTTCTGAAGGATCATGTGATAAATTCAGCTTTGATCACAGGAATAAATTACATTTTAACATATTACAATAGAAAATTTTTTCACAATATTAATAAAACTGTTGTTTTTTTTAATCAAATAAATGCAGCCTAGGTGAGCATAAGAGACTTCTTTAAACATTAAAAATCATATCGACCTCAAATGATAGTGTATAAAAAATCTGATATCTGTGAATTTTTCATTTACTCTATTTTTGTATAGACTTTTATTTTTTAAGATGAAGACTAAAATATATTTTTTTATATTTATATGCATTTACATGTTGATTATATAGCAATATGCAATAATAAACAGCAGTATTCTATTCATTTACAATAGTCAACATTTGAAGTGGATCAAAAAAGTTCATCAAAGTTGTCCTAAGACAAGAACGGCTATTTGTTCAAAATTCATGTATAACTTTGATAAAAGGCTTTGATCCACTTCCAATGTTGACTACTATATGTAAATGTGCATGTCTTCCTTTGATTCAAATATGTATTTGCATATTGGACTCAAGACTGTTTAAAAGAACTGATTCACAGGAATGAATGGAAGTCTTCTATTGATTCTGGATGAATTGAGAAAAAAAAAATAGATATCACGATTCTTCCACGATTCTAAACAAAATAACATACTACTCACTTATAAAGACTTCATTTTTTAATTACTGTATGAATCAGAGTTTTGGAAACATGAATGAATGAATGATTAAATGATAAATATTTAACAGTCACTTGTCGCCACCTACTGGTGTAATTGATACCACCTTTATTTGAAGCTTCAAGTTACTTTCAAAGATGATATGCTCTATTTTGATCACTACCGTAGACATCAGTGTTTATATCCGAACTTTCATACCATTACTTCTGTGATAATCTGGGAAAGGGGGAAAAAAAAGGAAAAATTATACTGTGTGGTTGAAAAGACTGTTTGTGAAGCTGTTTCATACCTACACATGACAACTGCTCTCTCTTGATCAGCGCCAGCGCAGATCTGAAAGTTTGCAGTGATCATAGCCTAGGCTACTTGTCAAAGGTTTAATAGACAAAGTCAAACAAAATCATATTCAATATATTTTACATTCAGTAAATTAAACGAGGCCTTCCAGACCTCCGCTTTAATGTTATAGCTGTGGGATTGCAAATTGTAGTTGTGTTGCATGGAAATGTAGTTTTATGTAGTTTAAAAATATCGTTTTTGGTCTCAGATCGTGCAGTACATTGGCGAGATCTGCCGCTATTTGCTGAACCAGCCAAAGAAGGACATGGAGCACCAACACATGGTCCGCATGGCCCTCGGAAACGGCCTTCGCCAGTCCATCTGGGAGGAGTTCACCAACCGCTTCAACATACCACAGATCGCTGAGTTCTACGGCGCCACCGAGTGCAACTGTAGCCTGGGCAACTTCGACAACCAGGTCTGTCCTAACAAAAGCACACCTTAGACTAAGTGTCTGTAAACAGCCTTTATAAGTAGCACACACTTGCAAACCTACACAATAGTGGATAATGCATGCGGAAAAGGATATATAGGGTTTTAAGGGTTGCAGCTAGGGATGCACCGATCCACATTTTTTCACTTCCAATCCGATCCCGATACCTGGATTTGGATATCGGCCGATACCGATACTATTCCGATACAAGAGCTGTGTTTGCTTTAATATTATTATTATTATTATTGTTGATTTTATATGATGCAGAAATAAGTATGATATGTGCATATGTGCATGTATGTCACAAAATATATATATATTAAACAAAAGATAGACAATTAAACAAAGATACACATTATACAGGCCTACATAGTGCTTTAATTTCAGGAAGGTCTACTAACATTACTATTCAGGTATGGTCTAGAAAGAATTATAATAAAGTAATCAGAAGTAAAATAGCACTGCAAAGTTTATCATAGATAGATTTATGCTTATTGAAGCTAAAGTTATTCATTCAAGAGCTATGAGTGATTTTCTCTTTGCCTTTTGTTGTTTGATTCGCAGTAATGGTGCAATCCTCAGCATGTATATTAGACTGCTTCCCCTTTAAGAACGAGTGCAGATCTAATAGTCTACTGATGCACCATATTTTCACCCAACTATTTCCATAACTACGTCCATTTTAGACATAAACTGTTTAAGTGAATCTCCAAGCCGGTCATTTTGACATATTTTTGTGTACATTTGATCGTTTAGCACATGAAGCCCAAAGTATAATTTGCTTGTCTCGTTGCGGTCTGTTTCGGAGCGCGCGCCGCATTGGGAACAGCATCTCTTGCGCAGATTTTTGTGCTTTTAATAGCTCTTTTTATTATTAAAAGCGTCCCGCAATTTAGCAACAGTAGAGACTGCATTTTACAACAATCACCGATCGTGCTGATTCTGTCTTAAAGTTAGAGTTTTAAGGAGAAATGACAGCGCACTGCTGCGATGGAAAGGAAGTTGCGCTAGGGTATAAATTTATTACCATTTATTTTACAAGGCCATCTACAATATGTTTAGTAATCAAGCACAGGTGGTTATGGGGCATTTATGGTGCTGATAGAAAATGCACCTAGCTGAGACCAGGTTTATTTTGCTCAACACAGTATTTAGTTTTGAAGAGTGTGAAGTGATTGTAACAAACATATGATGTTTTGACTGCAGACGGGGGCCTGTGGTTTCAATAGCCGGATCCTTCCCTACGTCTACCCCATCCGCTTAGTCAAAGTGGACGAGGAGACCATGGAGCTTATCAGAGGACCCGATGGAGTCTGTATCCCATGTGGTCCAGGTACAGTACTGGCTCACATTCATGCTTCGTACACAGGGGAGCAGACAGAAAGTTACCGGTTTATATGGATTTTTTTGATGGCCAATTCTGATACTTACAACTTGCTAGTGCCGGGTTGGATCCCTTTTTGCCTTCAGAACTGCCTTAATTCTTCATGGATTAGATTCAACCAGGTGCTGGAAACATTCCTCAAATATTTTGGTCCATATTGACATGATAGCATCACACAGATGCTGCAGATTTGTCGGCTGCACATCCATGATATGAATCTCCAGTTCCAGCACATCCCAAAGCTGCTCTATTGGAATGAGATCTGGTGACTGTGGAGGTCATTTGAGTTTAGTGAACTCATCGTCATGTTCAAGAGACCAGTGTGAGATGATTTGAACTTTGTGACATGGCATGTTATCATGCTGGAAGTAGCCATCAGGAGCTGATATACTGTGGTCATAAAAGTATGGACATGGTCAGCAACAATACTCGGGTAGGCTGTGGCGTTTAAAGGGATAGTTCACTTTGAAATTAATTTTTGGTATGTTTTAGCTTACCTCAAGGGCATCCAAGATGTAGGTGTCTTTGTTTCCACAGTAGTTTAAATTTTTGATGTTTTTAGGTCAAACTGTTCTTGTCTGTCAGTCATATAATGCAGGTCTATGGTCACCGCCTCAAAGAGCATGCACAGAGAAGTCCAAATTAAACATGATTTAATGACTCGTAAATGTAAGTACACATTGATGGCCTAAGACACGAAACGAGCGGTTTGTGTGAGAAAACTAACAGTATTTATATGGTTTTTACCTCTTGTAAACACAGCCACGTCCAAGTGATCTGAGGGCGCGGGCGCTTCGGATTTTCCCGTCTCGTCACTGTCACTTAAATCACCCTTTCTTCCCCGTTCTGATGCTCAGTTTGAACTTCAGCAGATCGTCTTGATGATCATGTCTACAATGCTTAAATGCATTGAGTTGCTGCCATGTGATTGGCTGATTAGATATTTGCGTTTATGAGCAGTTGAACTTAAGGATTTATTTAGTAAGATTATGCCTGAAAAGTTTTTTTTTTTTTTAGCATATGTTAATTTAAAAATATATATATATAATATGACTTCTTGTGTTTGTTTGCTTGGTTTTATTGTATTTATATGATATTTGTATTTTGGTAATTGAATTTTTGCCATGAAAATAGCCTTAGATGCTGACATGGCATTAAATAAAACCATCTATCTATCTAATCTCTACAGAAAATGCAAAAATATAATGTAACGTCCATTTCCTTACTGTGTTTCTCAGGAGAACCTGGTCAGTTGGTTGGCCGAATCATTCAGAACGATCCCCTCAGACGATTCGACGGCTACGTCAATCAGTCAGCCACTAATAAGAAGGTTGCCCACGATGTCTTCAAAAAGGGAGACAGTGCATATCTGTCAGGTATTGTATTTTGAAACACTTTACACAACCGCACTCTTCCTTGCATACACTCAGCTAGATAATAGAAGTCGTTTGCGTCTCCTCTCTCAGGGGACGTGCTGGAGATGGACGACTATGGCTACATGTATTTCAAAGACCGCACAGGAGACACGTACCGCTGGAAAGGAGAGAACGTGTCCACCACCGAGGTGGAGGGAACTCTGAGCCGTCTGCTGGACATGAAAGATGTGGTGGTGTATGGAGTGGAGGTGCCAGGTAACGGCACATTTCTCCACCTTTTCTGTTTGTTTTTATTCTGTCTTTCTCTCGTGGTGTCTTTCCACCAATGACTTCATCCCGTTTAAGAAAATCTTGGCTAAAATAGGCAAATCAATCTGCAGCACCCATAGAGTTTACTCATCAGGGACTATATCTTCAAGCGGAAGGAAAAAAATAATAATCGGCAGGAGTTTTATTTTGCAACGATCTTAATAATTACACAATTTAAAAGTCTTAAATGATTTGATTATTTTTAAATCTTTAATATTATAATATTATTTTTAGGTTTGACTCATCCCTTTTCTTAAAAAAATGGTTTAAATGATGAAATATGAGGTTTATCATTTTACAATCATAACGTGAAGTTTCAATCGTGGTCATTTTCCAGTTTTGGTTGTTACCCGTAGACGGTGCCCACTCATATGGCTTTCATTTTATTATTATTTTTAGTTTACATTTTGTTATTAGTTTTAAAAACCCTGCAGATACCCTGATTACAGGACTAATTGGCAAAGAAATAAATGCACATGATACGATTTAAGATTCAAGTTAAAATGATCTTGTGACAATAAAGAGAGCATCTGTAAAGACAGTGTTTTGCGGTGAACTGTTCCTTTTAAGTGTTTTGATTCAGTAACATGAATCACCGGGTGCCCAGCCAGTCTGTGGAGAGGAGAATAATTAATTTGAACAAAGCTGACTGCAGCAGCTCCTGAAGGATTCTGGGAATGCACAGCCAAACAACTTCTTCTCTTGGCCTGGCTCTGGTTTTGCTTACACTAGATCTATAAAGAAATGGCGGCAGAGTGCTGAATATAGCTCACTACATTTGAGACTGCCAGCTGAAAAATACACTCACCTTCAAAACAAAGTCATCAGCAGATCTGGAATTGTGGGTCTACAACATGTAGGTGTACGTGTACATCATACGCTGATAACCATCAAAATGTTTCAAGAGTCTAAATGCAAATCAATAAACCAATGACTCAAGAAAAACTTTTATGTGAGATTTTGAAATCATAAGTGTTTTCTTTAGCATGAACAGACACACACAAGACTGCAAATGTTGAATAAGCAGACAGAACAACAATTAAAGTGTTCACATACCAAACCGAATCTGGAAAATGGGCAAAAACCTTGCTGTGTTAATCTGGTTTTACTTAAACTGTGTTTTTATCAGGGAAAGGTCGTTTTTAAGAAATTTGGCTAATGTGATCCCACCTTTGTTTTCAAACATCTGTGCTTCCATTAAGCCTGATGTTATTATTCAGATAGTTTAAATGTTGGCAATTTAACTTTTACCAACTTGCTAAATTACTGTAATTGACCTCAAAGAGAAAACTAGCTGCAGAAGAGAAAAAGAGCAGTTTTTACAAATGGATGGTGTAGCGCCTCTTGTGGCAGTGCTGAGAATGCATCGCATCATTGTGTTGCATAATTTGAGGTTGCCTTTGTGTGATTCATATGGACGTTTTTTTCTCAGGAGCTGAAGGCAAGGCAGGGATGGCGGCCATAGCAGACCCGGACCACAGCTCAGACCTGGCGAAGTTTAGCAGGGACCTGGAGAAAGCCCTGCCGCCCTATGCCCGGCCCGTGTTTCTGCGCTTCCTGCCAGAAGTGAACAAGACAGGTGAGATATGGCACGTCTAATCTCAGCCTCAGACAACTGACCCCTGTCTGATGAATATTGTTGACTTAGAGTGGTAACGTCGCATATCACAGAAACAATCCTGTCCTATTTTAGAACAGAACCCAAAATGAAAATATTAAATAACTAAACTTCAAAAGGCTGTGATTTAAAGTCCCCCTGTGGTGAAAAATCAAGTTTTCAATGTTATTATGTCTATGTGGTGTTTTTAATATGCTTAAAGACAAACCATGTGCAAATTCATAAGTGCTGACTATTTTACATTATTATAGATACATTATTTATTATGAGATTGTATTTGTATTGGTTTGTTCTGCCTGGACATACAGTATTCATTTTATTTGTGCAGGTTTTAAGTTTCATTTTTCAAGTTTCAAAACACTGGGCCTTCATACAGTCTAATCGTCTATCAAAATCCAAAGGTTGAACATTTTGTACTGTACTGTATTTTTTTTTAATTATAGACCCTTTAACTTGTCGTGTTGATTGAGAGCCCAGTTATATTACACCTTCTGCCCATTTCGGTGCAGCCTTACTCTGACATGTTCAGGGTTACATTAAATATGACAATTGGGGCAAATACACAGCCTAATGTTCTAACGAAATCTAAAGTTTGAACATTTTTTACTGTACCAACAATGACTTATGGACCCTTGAACTTGATATATGGGGCAATACAGATAATCAAGCCAAAAGATGTGCGGTGCGCCAATGCATAGTATAAAATGCTAAGCATGTGGTTTTCTTTCAGGGACTTTCAAATTCCAGAAGACAGACATGCGACGGGAGGGATTCGACCCCAGTGTCGTCTCCGACAAACTCTACTTCCTGGACTGCACTAAGGGACAATATGTGGAGCTGAACGTAGAGCTCCATCGCAGCATCGTCTCAGGAAAGCAGAAATTATGAGACTACTGCCAACCTCCACGCATTCCCTCACCACCCCGCCTTCAACAGCCCTCAAACCCCACCCCCCTCATCACCCCGCCCCTCGTTACCTCAACAAACACAGTGAGGGGCCGCAGGAACGCATTCTGGACACTTATTCAAGGCCCATCTTCATTCTCATAGCCCACCTCTTACGACTGAGATGGGACTGAGGTAATGGTGTTCAGCCATCTTGAAAACAAAACAAAAAATTAAGCAATTTAGCAAACAAAAATACAAAAAACTAACAGCAAGGAAAGGCACAAGGACCAACTACACGTCTGTCAAATGGTAAATCTTTCCCTTTGCCTCAGCTGCACAATGCTCGCCTGGCTACAGGATTCGGGACGTTCATTTTGACGGATCTGACAAGCGACTGCCATCGTAAACGCGCCACCAAACCATGCGGATCGACGTGCAATACAAACCCAGCACTGGCTGCGCACTTCTCAGCTGCCATGACTTGATCAATGCTGTTTATTTAAATGTGCACCAAATATATTTAAGTTGTAGAATAGCTCATCATCTATTTTCAAGTTCTGAATCTTTATGCTGCATTGAAGACATCCATGATCGCACTGCTACTGTGTCTATTTTACCTCTCCAGACGTTAATGTGCGGAGTCAATCATGATTCGCTAGTAACGTCTAGAGACCGAGCAGCTCGGTGCGACATTGTGCAGAGTGGGCTTCATGGGTTCGCTTCGATTTGCTAGACGTGACGACCGTTCAGATTCGGGCGAGGACCTCCTGGACACTATGGTGGACTTTGCATAGAGGTGAATGAAAGTAGTAAACTACTCTGGTGCTAAAGAGGGAACATCCTCCCCATCTGCAAAGTGGCGCCAGACCTAAAAAAAACATCCTTGCCTCTTGACGTGAAGAGAACGGAAGCGGAGTAGAATGAAGGGAAAGTGATGTAGGCTATCTGTCATCTGGGTTTTAGTTTTTCTTTCAGCAGCATGAATGATTGATGCAAACAGAGCACTGTGCCTTACTGTCAGGTCACCACGTACGTAGTGTTATTGCTCTTGCCCTGTATCATTACACTAACTGACCCTGGACGTCTCTTAAACAGCTAGTTTATTTTCTAAACCTAGCTTGTACTCCCCTCCCATTAAAATTTCCCATCATGCAAAGTGTCCGGCACTACATCTATGGGCATACTTTCCCTTCCATGTGTATTTTGCACCATCTTCTCTTGCAAACTTTCCTGTTCTCCTTCGCCCACTGACAGCGGATTATTTATTTATATCGTAGCAACTATTTAAGTGTGTGTGCACGTGTGATGAGATGATTTTGTGTGACGGCACTTGATTTTCTCCAGTCACTTTTTTTGGCCACTATAAATGAACGTAAGGCACAGATGTGGGAAAACATAGAACTGTGTTGACATTGTATGGGCGAGTATCAAGAGGAACATACTTTACCCAAAAAAAAAAAAAGATATACTTTGCATAAAAATAATGAAGCCTATTTTGCAATGTTTTTTCATTAAAAAATCAGGATTTGTCATTACTGTAATGCAAAAAATCTCATTCTCATTACCATAATGCCTAAAAAAATTATTGACATTAAAAATGTCATTCTCATTACTGTAAATAAAAAAATCACTCATTACCATAACAAACAAATTAATGCTCATTATCATAATGACAATAAAATGCTAATGTCCATTACTATAATGACAAAATCATCTCATTCTGATTACAGTAATGGCAATAATCAAATTATTCTTATCGTAATAACAATAAAGTCTCATTCTTATTACAATTAATGACAAAAAAAATCTAATTCACGTTACTGTGAATTAATGACCAAAAAAAAAAACATTTCTTATCGTAATGAGGGTAAGATTTCATTCTAATTACCGTAATGACAAAAAATCATCGAATTTACATAAGAATATTTTTTGTGTATGTAATGACAAGAAATAGTGTTCTTGTCAGTACATTTTTTTCATTAGAATTAGCATAAATGAAATTCAGTACAACAATGTAAATAGGACTTCATATTTTTTTTGATTCAAAATATATTTTTCTTTTGGAATGAAGTGTCTGCGCCACAGCTGTACAGGACATTTCTTCTTCGACTGATACTTCTAGCCAAGGGTGCAGCAGTGATGTCATTGGTTAGTCAGCCAATCAGATGCAGTTGTCTCCATCCATATTCTTTTCCTGATTTTATTCTGTTATTGTTCGTCCTTTCCTTTTACTTGGATTTTTTTTTAAATAATTTTGTAAAAGAATGGCGTAATGATTTGTTATGGGTTGAGCTTTATTTCTCCGTTAAGCTTGTTTTCTTTTGCTCTGTGTGTGTGTGTGTGTGTGTGTGTGTGTGTGTGTGTGTGTGTGTGTGTGTGTGTGTGTGTGTGTGTGTGTGTGTGTGTGTAAGAGAGGGAATGCGTATCTTATGCACTGAGTTATATTTTAGACACAATATGATGTCAAATCTTCTCTACGAACATTTCTTTCTCTCACGATATACTATGTGTTAGTGTGTGTGTCCTATGACCGCAAGAATCCTCACCAGGAAGCTTTTGCTGAGGCCTCTCTTTATTATTTCTGTTAGTTAAAGGAACCGTTCACCCCAAAATGGAAATTCTGTGAGCATTTACTCACTCGCACGTCGTTCCAAACCTCCAAAAAGGACAAAAAAAATCCAAATGACTTATTCCAAGTCTTCTGAAGCCTTTCCATTTTGCATATTAAAAACTGCAAATCACCTTGACATCATCCTGGTGCATTAACATTTAACATTAGTAAATTAGTAAAAATTTATCAGTAAATTACAACTACTTCTATCGTGCTTTGTCTTTTTTAGAATGTGAATGAAGATTATTTTGTGTTCCAGAAAATAAATAAAGTCATACATGTTTGGAACCACATAAAAGGGAGTGAATGATGACGGAAATTTCATTTTTCGATGGTACCGTCCCTTTAAGGTTTCATACACAGACACACAATTGCAGACACACAAACAACCTTCAATGTCAGCCATTTCCACGTAAATGATGTCTGTTTTGAGAAAGATTTCTGCATTTTATTTATGTTCTAATGACTTTTTTCATATATCTTAAAGGCATTAGCAATGTGAAATGCAAAAGCCAGTGCTGTGAATAATTTTGTATTTATTTATTTTTTTAAATACATGTTTTTTCCCGCCGCACCATATAAACAGTCGCAGTCTGTTTCCACTCAGAACATGTTTTACAGGATCTGTTTGTGTCGGTTTATTTTCGAGCTGATGTTGAGCATGAAATGCGATGTTGTTCTCATGTCTGTCCACTAGGTTGTGCTGCTCGTTCACATTCCTTCCATTTGCCATCCAAAATCTTGTTAATGCACCAGTATGTTTTCATTGATAATGAGGGATATCTAATGTTTTATGTTTAACCTAATTATTTGCTGTGGATTTTGTTCCTATTTGTTCTGTCAATGGCTTTAAAGCTACAAAGGACCATTAAGCATCATAAGTTATATTGTTTGTATCTTGTTCTATTGAGCACCAAAGCTAATGAAGTTTTTGCATTTTGTTAGTTAGGGATCCCCCTCCCCCATCCCATCCCATCCCATCCCAGTTTTTATTATAAACTGTACAGATTTGTCACCCATCTCAAAAGGACTGATCATAAATGCACTTTTGTTTTTGTCTATTTCTGTTCAGTACTCAGGAACAACATGCAGAGGTGGGAACTATGAGTGAGCTGGTGGTGTGTGTGTGTGTGTGTGTTTATGTAGAGGAGGTGTGTGAGGTGTGCCGCGTCACACTGAAGTCCTCTTGTCTTAAAGACTAGCTGTAAATCATGCTCTTTCAAAACAATGGCATCCAAGAATCCATATTAATAAAAAATATATTAATTCTCTGCCGTTGCTCCTGTTTATTTACTTTGTATATGAAGCAGTGTTATTTTGAGGTTGTTGGTTTTTTTTATATATATATATAATTTCTGTTGACGTTTTAGTCATTTTAAGTAAGATTCATAAAGGGACATTTATATGACTTTGTGGGCTGGAAATCTTAATATTTTTAAGTTTCAAACATGACCTTCAATGAATGGTCCTTCTGTTAGGTCTGTTCTTGCATGCGATTGGCTGGATTGTTGAGGGGGCGGAGCTAATGTGGTTGGCACACTGAATAGTCCACAATCCCTGGCTGTGTTCCTCTCTACAACGTAACCATGAAGATCTCCTTGGTGACCATTTTTTTGCTGATGCTCCTGACAGGCATCAACGCCAGAGTCCAGCCGCAGAAAAACTTTGACCTTCAGAGGGTGAGAACTTTAAACCTTACGTTTTTGGAGACGTGCCTTTATCTGTAGGACAGTAGTAGGGATGCTGCAGTTTCTGGACTAGTATCAACACTTGAAAAGTGAGAGCAGGCTGGTGTTGTAAACAGCTGGATATATGAGGCTTGTGTGAGTTGTTGTTTTAGAGGCTGAAACACTGACATGGCCAAGCTGCTGATGTGTTGAGGAGGGTAATGCTCTTCAGGGCCAGCGATTGCATTAACAGCAGAGACAGTGCAGACAAACAGACCTCAGGGCAAAGGTCACTCGCTCAGTGTTGCAACCAGAAACATCTGACTAATGCCAAGTTCTTCAGGCATCCTCACGGGACTTTATGAAGAAGAGTGTTGGTTCTTGAGACACGGAGACCAATATTGTTGGTAGTTAAAGAACAGACGGACTCCGCACGGTTCAGCGATTGGACATTAGTAATCAGGGTTCATATTTCTGCTCTGTTCCTTGTGAATGATGCGTATTCTCTTGTGTTTGGTCAGTTTGCAGGGAAGTGGTATCGGGTGGGTCTGGCCTATGATTCTCCAGGCTTCGTGCCGTACAGGAACAGACTCACCGTCTCTATGGGCGTAGTGGAGCCGAAGGAGAATGGGGACGTCAACATGACCATGTGGAGTCTGACGTGAGGGACACTCGTGTTCAGACAATACTATACTATAACTCATTCATTCTTTATTTTACCAGGTTAAAAGAATAATTATAATTACACATAATATGTATTTTACATTCACCCAATTAAGAATTGAATATATTCAGAACAACAGCACTATTAGACTGTGATATTGTGTTTATACATTATTATTACAAGTTAATATTGAGAAACTGACATTTCAGACACAACATGGCCATTTATTTTGTTTTAGTTTTGATTCACAATGAAGTTATAATAGTTCTTAATATTTTATTTTATTCACACACTGTGATGATTCTTGTCTCATATTTCATAGAAGAGTTCCTAATAATTTGTTTTGTTTTATTATTTTATTATTCACACACTGTGTAATAATCCTAGTCTCATATCTTTTCCAAATACTTTTATTTTTTATTTATTTTATTCGCGCTGTGATAATTCTTGTCTCATATCTCATTGTTAGAAACATTTCTAATATTTTATTTATTTTATTTTATTCACATACTGATCATTTCTGTCTCATAGTTAGAATATTTCTTAATATTTTTATTTTATTATATTATTTTATTATTCAGACACTGTGATAATTCTTGTCTCATTTATCTCATAATTAGAATAGTTCCAAATATTTTATTTTAATTTTTTTATTTAAATTATTTTATTTTATTCACACACTGTGATAATTCTTGTCTCATATCTCATAGTTAGAATAGTTCCTAATATTTTATTTTATATTATTTTATTCACACAGTTTGATTATTCTTGTCTCATATCTCATAGTTAGAATAGTTACTAATATTTATTTTATTTTTTATTTCTTTATTTTAATTTATTCACACACTGTTTGATGATTCTTGTCTCATATCTCAAAGTTGTTAATAATAGTTTCTAAAATTATATTATAATATTAATTATATTATATTATTATACTCAGACATTGTGTGATGATTGCATGTGATTATATGCAGGTCTTCCGGTTGTCAGCGTAAGGTCTACGTTTATGAGAAGACGTCTGTGCCCGGCGTGTTTAACTACTACAGCACTCGTGAGTCACCAGTAGATATGAGACATCACAGCTGAATGTTTGTCTGATCAGATCAGACACAGAGAAAACGATACTCCAGTTCAGATTTGTACTGTCCTCTGAAGGTCATCGAAGGGTGAAGGACGTTACTGTGGTGGAGACGAACTATACTGAATATGCCCTGGTCCTCAAACACAAGAAGATCAACAAGGAGTTCACACAAGTGTCTCTTTACGGTGAGCCTGAGATTAACAACAGCATGAACTTCTCAAATAAAGCATCTTGGGAGGGTGTTTTTGTTCTTCTGGCTTGTTCTCACGGCCTGTGATTCGGCTGTAGGTCGTACTAAGAGGTTGAGGGCGGATGTGATGGAGAAGTTCAGAGCGTACGCCACAGCTCGAGGATTCTCCAAAGAGTCCATCCTGACTCCACCAGCCGCCGGTAAAACAGGTAAATCACACACACACCTACACGCTTTACTGTATCTGGACACTCGAGTCATGCTTAAAACGGTCTGAATGCATCAAACAACACGATATCAAAACATTTATTTTAAAGATAGACGGCACAAGAACACTTTTCTAACAAAACATTTCACAAAGAGGTTCTTAAAGGGTTAAATAATAAAATAATACTGTTCAAATTGACGACAAAAAGTATTTGGAAATTTGTAGTTGTCAAACGGTGGCTCATGTTCACTAATAGGACACTTGGTTTGACATAGTTTGATATTTGATTTGATATCTAATGCCTGGTACACATTGTATGACGGTACAAATGGTGTATTGATCAACACGACATGACACTTAAACTTAAAACTACTCACCTCAAGGTCCATTTGCAAGATTGGCCTCTTTCGCCATCCATGACTGCGTCCGAAGTGTCCAAATACTTTTTCTTTCAAGACTATACATGTATGACAGTGACACACAAATATTTGCTCAACAACAAGCGATCATCGACGATGTGTGACTGAACTTTTCTTCACAAACCATTTAAATGTTTATTTATTGTCTAAAATAATTGTATTTTCAGCAAAATTCTCACAAAATTTCTCATTTTTCTTTCTTTTCTTTTTAGAAGACTGTTCTTGAGGAGGTAAGCGAGAGCTTTGAATCTAGTTTATCAAACCCCATTTTCTCATCAGTAACAACCTGACTAGTATTCATTTAGTTTTGGAAATGTTTCATAGTGTTTCTCATCAAGCTTGATGTGTCTCTCTTTCAGTTCCTAATCCCTATTTAGAGCTGGACTGGAGGCCACACGACACACACATGCTTACCTTAATGTGCCAAAATGATGTCCGTTTGTGACAGTTTGTAAAACTGTAACTGAAGTCATTCGTTTGCTTTGCTATAAAGCTGACAAAACATTCAACCTAGACAGAAGAGTGGAAATACAGAAATAGGTCACTTCTCTGATAATCTTGGCTGGCAAAAAATAAAACACTTGTTTTTGTTCACGTTGTGTTATTCCCATCTGACTGCCATTACAGTTTAGCATAAGAAATGAAAGTTATTGTGTAAATATGTGGGAATGTTAATGTGTGTACTGTTACAGTGGCCTAGATCTTTTGTGCTAAAGATTGTCTCAATATATAGATGTCTCAATATCTATATCTGCAATTTGTTTCTTTTTTAGGTGTGACATATCAAGATCTGTCCAGGGACAGCAGATGTAAAATAGCCTACTGGCTAATTCTGGCACCCTGTACATTTAATTATGTATTATTAGTGTGCATTGGCTGTTAAATAAACCTGAAATAAATAAATAAATAGCCTATACCGTGTCTACTCCAGACGTGAGCGGCGCGGTGCAGCACGAAAAAAGCCAACAGAACCCATTAGTGACGCCGTTATTTCTGACGTACTTCAAACGCACGCGCTACTTCGCTTTGTCGCGTCCAGTCAGTGTACACAGTACACCATGTAGGTCTGGCCTACACATAAATGCCTCATTAGCGCCTGTTTCTATTGGCCGCCGTCCGCCATATTGGAACGGTCAAAGCCGGTCCGTGAACATTCGAGAGCAAGTGGAATGTGTGCGTCTACCGTAGTTAATGCATGTATGAATATCTATATCTGCAATAGACTTCAGCAGATGATTTTGTTAAACTAACACAAAACAGCAAGTCGAAGGCGTCAGCTGACATGACTTTAAAAAGTTTCCATACAAAAACATTAAAACGTTACCATAGTATAAAAACTGTAATTTTGAGTATACAGATAAAAACACAGAGCAACACATTCTCACCTGTGAAAGGTTATCCTTTCATCGGGAATTTAAATCTTGGCGGTTTCCCAATCAGGAGCTGTGATGTTGTGGCATCATGGATTCTCACTGTCAGTGACGACGACACGCGGACCTTTCCAAGATGGCGGGAGCGCCGACGTCTCTGGCCATCGAATTTGGATTTTATATATATATATATATATATATATATATATATATATATATATATATATATATATATATATATATATATATATATATATATATATATATATATATACATATATATATATATATATATATATATATATATATATATATATATATATATATATATATATATATATATGTGGTGTATTGTATAGACGGCCTCAAGCTGTTAAACATGGCAATTTTTTTTGACAGATGTTGGAAGTAGGCTAGTAAATTAAAATCTAATTCTGTGAGGGTATGTTATTTGTCGCAGAGCAGACAATATATTTATTTCATTCTACAAAGTCACTCAACAAAAAAAACTGAAGATTAAACCTTTTTGACTCTTACATAGGCTACTGAATTGTAGGAATAGACTATTATTCAATTATTTAACAGAATCATGTGATTTGTCAGAGTTTCAGCCAAAACAAAAAGGCACAGGTTGGAGTCAATAGACCGATAAGAAGAACTTTGTTCTATTTGTTTTGTTGGACTGGTTTTGGGGGTGGTGTTGCACACATGGCCTGCAGGTCGATGTCCTGTGGATGGAGTGGTAGTGGTTCTCATTTGGCTTTGGGATCAGAACTTCATTCGGATCACAGACAGACAGAATGATGCGTGTTGTTCTGGTGTTCCTGCTGTCCCTCCTGGGACTGTTGCATGCTGGGCCTCTGCCCGATGAGCCCGTCCTCGAGACCCAGGAGAACTTTGATGTAAAACGGGTAAGTGTTTCCTTTTGGAAGTTTAAGAGACTGTTTATGCATAGGAGACCAGGACAAGTTTTCATAATTTTTACAGTTTTGATATAGTTGATTTCTATACACAAAAACTAAAATGCATTGATTACATATTATGTATTGAACACTTCAACCATTATTGGTCGGAAAAAATAACTTTTGACCTTTTGTGACAACATGCCCCAATGGCCACACTGTATGTCACAATGGGAACTTGTTTATTGACGCTAATTTTAGAACAATACTTTGAAATATATATATATGTGTGTATTTAAAATGTTTCGTTGCAATTTATTAATATTTTATATTGTAATAATATAAAATTAGGCTTGTTATTTGCATCTTAGCAATCTTTCATTTTGTAATGCAATATTTTGAGAAAAAATATAAAAAACAGTAAAATGACATACAATATTTTATAACATAGAAGCTAAGCAAATCATGAAATAGCTAAAATAATAATTAATTTTATTAATATAATAATAATTGTATACAAATTTAACATGCAAAATGTTCCGTTGAAATCTATTGCTAACAAAACAAAACAAAAACAATATTTTTATTGTAATATTACTTTATAGGTCTTATTTAATTTGGTTACTTTATACACATTTCAATAACCTTTTTTTTTACGATCTACCACCAGTGTTAAGGTGAAATCTGCATGAAATGACTTTCTGGCTATTGCACAACATGCAAATAATTATGCAATATTTTGCCCTGTTGCACCACATTTTGTTGCCATTACATTTGGCTGACACTTTTCTTTTCATTCCTGTTATGAATATGCAGAACATTTTATTATTATTCCTCAACAAAAATCCATATGACAAAACAAGCATGAAAATTGTTAAGGTTACACTTTTTTTTACGGTATTTGTACTTACAGTGTGTTACTCAAGAAAGTAGGTAACCTGAAGTCAAAAGGTTTGCGATCCACTGATCTAATTGACCTCTAATTGACCTCTAAATCTCTCCGTATCTGACCTCCTCCGCTCCACCTCTGTAAGTTCATGGGGAAATGGTATGGGATTGCTACGGCGTCCACGTGCCCTTGGCTCAAGCGTCATAAGGGAGAGGCATCCATCGGCTCGATGGAGCTCCAGCAGTCCAGTGACTCGACTCAGACCATCAGCATGACCCGCATCAGCCTCAGGTACCACACACTCATGCAGGAAACAACAATAATATTACACCAAGGGAACAATGCAGCCAGTGTGTGAAACTCTTTCTTTTATTTCATACGTTTGTGTGAGACCCAGCATGACGGTATTATTCGTTTATTTTGCAGACATGGCACCTGTAAGTCCATCAGTGGAGAATATCAGCTGACCAAAACACCTGGAAGATTTCACTACCACAATGCCAGTGGGTACAACACCACAGCTGTCAATCACTCAGTTCATGTCTCTGTTATCTGACTGTGGTTTGGGTGTCTTTCGGCCTGTAGAGTGGAACGCCGATGTGGACACGTATGTGGTTCACACGAACTACGATGAGTATGCGCTGGTGGTGACGTATAAACAAAAAACAGGCGGGGAAAAATCAACATCTGTGAAACTCTACGGTAAAACAACCCTTTTCTTCTTGGGAAACATTTCAACTTTTTTTTTCATGATTTCCATAAATTCTTGATGAGCTTTGACCTCAAATCAAGTACTTTAAAAAAATAACATGCCAAATATGGGCATGCATTATAAATTATTTCTGGGGATTTAAAAAAAAAATTGGTGCTAATATTACACACACAGGATGATAAGGAGTTTGTGATGTTTGATGACTCGCCTTTCAGTTGAAGAAAGTAGCGAGGAATGTGAGGCAAAGTTGCCACCACAAGTTTAACAAGTATGGAAACAAACAATTAATTTAGCTAAATGCTAATGCTAACATGCAAACAAAAACAGTATGAGACAAAGAAGTGTGTAGTAAGACACCCTTCTATGATTTTCATCTATTTCTACTCAAACTCTCTCTTAATGACTTTAGTTCAATAATTATGTTCAAAATAGAATACTAACATACTACATAGTCATTATGTGTGTGTGTGTGTGTGTGTGTGTGTGTGTGTGTGTGTTTAGTCTATGTTTTTGAACTTATATAGGCCTACACTGTTTAAATTACATCACATAGAACTAAATGCTGGGGAGGGGGGTTCTTCATATACAACCACTGATAAACATTATCGGTTTTGATGAGGGGAAAAAACTATACGAGTGCGGATTAGAACCCAGAACCTCCGACACGCTTGGCAAAAATTCTGCCACTGGACCATTACAGTACATACTTACACTGGCGGATCTATGTATTTATTCACGTAACAATATACGATACTAACAACATATATTAGATCTCATTGTACGACGAATTAAACCCAAAGTACTATCACATTTTTGGTCGGACATCATCACATCTTTGAATACATTTTTTTTATTTACATCAGTAAGCTACAGGACATCGTCTTTCAAAACATGACCTGCGCGAAAGAGAAAAAAGATTGAATGCGTCATTGTACCCAGCACTTTTGAAAATGCCTTTCCGAATGCGTCTCTGTCCCCACCACATTTCAAACCAAACTGACGCCCATGGTAATACATGTGGATTACATTCATACTATATAGAACTTTTTAATAGTCGTGAAGTAATTACTTATTCAGAAGAACTACCGTTCATTATTTTGTATAATATCAGGCAGAATACAGTATTCAGTCAGTAATAAGCTAGCGTTCAGTTCTGAACATACAGTGTGAACCATAGACTGTATGAACACATGTGTTTGTGCTTGTGAACTATAATGATCTAGTTATACTCCCCCTGTAGGGCGTAGTATGCAACTGCGGCCCACTCTCATCGAGGACTTCAAGACTCTGGTGGCTGAACAGGGAATGAGTGACGACACTATAGTTATCAAAAAGAACAAAGGTATCCTCATGACACAG